ATTGTTTTCTATTCAGGTAGAAATTGGTGTCTTTAGGTTATTTTCAAATCTAATATTTCACAACTAGCTAAAATGTAGTCTCTGATTGCTGGCTGGAATGAAATTTTCTACTTTGGTTGTATCATTTATAATGATAGGAAATTGAATTGACGATTGATTTAAAATAGAAATATAAGCAATGATTAACACAGTAAACAGCATATTTCAAAATATGTGACTTATGGGGTAAAATGCCACTTTCGTGTATGTAAAATTAATAAAACTTTTCATGGAGGACCTGAAACTCTGACTTTATAGATGAAAAGATTTAGACTAGTTTGCTATAATTCATCTCCTGCCTTTACTGAAGTCGTTTTGTTCTGTGGATGTTGTGTGATGTAATAAATAGCTGTGGATGGCTGCCTTTGTGTGCGTGCAAACTGTAAGAGCTGTAAGATCTCTGAGTTTGAAAGGGACCTGTGGTTCACTGTCACTGCCTGCTTTGCTTTTTTGATGGGACTGGGGCTTGAACCCATGGCTTCATGTTTGTAAAGCAGGCACTCTCCCACTTGAGCCACACCTCTAGTCTGTGCTGCAGTTCTTAGAAGTTCTTAGAAATTCTTCATTTTGTACTGGGCCCCTCAAACTCTGCATCTGGACCCATTGCTCTACTTGTATCTTCCCTAGTCTCTGTCTCTTCTACAAGAGAAAGCTACCTCAGGGTGCTCCTTCGGTGTTTTCGTCTTACTTTCTAAAGTGTCTCTTGCACTCGTGCACTGGGAGCATCAAGCCTCCTAATGGCCTTAGGCAGGGCGTCAGCTCTTCACTCCAAGAGCTGGCCTCAGCGCCTGATGCATGGCAGGTGCTGAATGAATGGGTGAGTGAACAAATGAATAGGAAATTATAAATAAATGCTTGTTGACTTATTTCATTGGCAAAACATACTTTAAATAGCTTTAGTTTTGCACTGAAAAAGTGACTAGGTAGTTTGGGGATTGCTAAAAAATAAAATATTCAAGAAAAATAGTTCTTGGAAATTATCATGGGACAGAATTGATTAGAAAGGTAAAGGAAATTAGACTGAAAGAGAGCTGAACTCTGCCAGGAATGAGAAGTGATGGGTAGGGGTTGGGGGCTGATGCTTAAGCAAAGTTGCTTTATTTCTGGGGCTGGCAGACCACGATCTTCCTACCTGTGCCTCTGGTGTAGCTGGGATGACAAGTGTGTGTCACCATGCCAGGCCTCAGAGATTTCTTTATCTGCTGTTTTTCATTAAGAATATAAGTAATATGAATACAGAAGTTGTGTGAAAATTCAATTCTGTTAGTTATTCCTCTGGTTCTGAGCAGAATAGAAAGAACATGGGCTCTGGTTTCCAGTTACCCTTGCTTTGCTAAGCACATTTTATTATTATCATTTTTTATGTCTTACCATTTTAGTATAAGAGGGCCAGCAAAATGAAGGGACACATGGCATGAGGCTGAGAGGGAACACAGGACTTGGACGTCTTCTCCGCATGGAACCAGCCTGTCACTCTCCCCACGCATGAGTGAATTCATCAGCGAGGAAGATCCATGGAGCCCCAGTGTCCAGAGAGTCGATTAGAGATTCAGGACGTAAACCTGATTTGTTGAGTTGCCAGCCACATGAATGATCTCCTCTGTAGCCCAGAAGTTGGGTTGGCCTGAAGTCCCAACCCTGAAATCATGTGTGACTAAACACATTTTTATTCTTTAAATCATGAAACTTTTATCCTTATATGTGCTTTGGGAAACAAATTTCACACAATGATTCCTATAAGATAACAAAAAACAAAAAAACTAATACTCCTGTCTCTGGAGTCTTTTATTTGGTGTTTGATCCTCTCTCCTGTTACTTGTGAGTATTATTCTTTACAATTTGAGAGGTTCTCTCTGCATGGTCTAGCCTTGCTTTCTCTATTTTGGGTATAGCACACTTAACCATGTGACTAAAATTGTGAACAGGTGTAGCTTTAATTTCTTTTTATGTTCCAGTAAAGACAGTTTCTTTTAGGATATTCATCGCCCCTATTATCCTTCTCCAGATTATGCCTGATGCTATGATAAAGCTGGTGCACTGAATACTAAATTTGGGAGAATAAGCGATTTTATGCTTCATATGATTACTTGCGGAAAATTCAGTTTTTGGATCATGATGATAATGGTGGAGTTGAAGTGAATAATAGCACTGACATCCACAAGCAAAAACAAAAGGGCAAATAAGCATTTGAGGGAAAGATAGCCCTGGAAGTACAAATGGGAAGAGAGGTGGAGAGCTCTACAGTCAGGAACACTCAAATTCTAAGTTAGCAGTGGTAAAGTCATGGGGTCATACACCTGAATTACAATTTAGTGTGCTAGAGGAGAAAGGCAGGGAGGTGCACAAAAGAACTTTATGGGCTAGCTTAAATGGGAAAGAAGTCAATAAAAAGGAGCTTCCATCAGTCTATGAGAACAGAGATTGTCTCCCTCAGTTGCCACTGAAGTGGAATCACAAGAATGTATTCCTTACACCCAAGTGTGTTCCAAGAACAGTCAACATTGAACAAAGTATACGCTCCAGTGATTGTGTTCTGCAAACAGCTGGGTGGGGAAATTGTCTTTACTGTTCCCACCTTTCTGGAACACACATTTGAATAAATATGTTTTAAAAATTCTTCTGCCAGAAGAATGTCATTAGCATAACTCAGTCTAGAGTGTTCAACTTTGCCTCTAAGCCTACAATAGAAAAACACACTGAGTTTGTTTTTTAAAGCAACAAAAGCCATTGTTTTTATTTATGGACATTTTATTGTTGTGCTGGCATTGCAAAAGTTCTTACAATTTATCAAATATAGCATACTTGAATTCACCCCCTCACCCAATCTCCTTTATCTCCTTCCCCCCATTCCTCGGATAATGCACTTAGTTTATAAACCAAAGAATGAAGGAGTGGGAGAAGGAGGAATGAGAGTAAAACTATTTTAAATTTTTAGTCAACAGTAAACAGAAATATTCAAGCATCCAACGTTCTTTGAATTACTAGGAACTGTTAACTTTAATAATTGTAATAGTAATAACAGTAATGATGATGATAATAATAGAACCAGAACCCTGAGTTTAGTTTAAAATCTAAGACTAGCCAGGCAGAAGAGGCAGCTATTTTTCCTGATTTTAGAAAGGTAATGCAACTATATAATCGAAAATTAGCGACTTGATCAAACTCACTTCAAGGGAAAACTTGAGCTGAATGCTGCATGAATATTCAGACAATAGCAACCTGTTTGAAATTGCTTTTGGGTGTAATTCCAAAATTTATGCATTTTATCATCTCCTAGGCATAAAGCCAAAGGCTAAAAGAGCAAAACATGAAAAAAATTGAACCTGAATCATATTCTAAACCCTGTTGAGTTTAATTTTACTTACGAAGCAGGATAGTTTGCTACTTAAATTTCCCCTTTATAGTCCCGTAAAGACACCTGGCTTCTTGTTATTAGTCTCGAAATTGTGGTATTCATTTGGAAAGTTCCAATTTTAGGAGCATCATTCTTAATTACTAGGCAGAGCACACAATAAACACACAATCTAAGGTAGACTACAGCAAGAGGAAAGCAATTTGCTACAGATTTGCTGGAAGTGTGGGGTTTGCAGATCTACAAGCCTTGCTGGCACAAAGGGATATTTTTAGCTATATGGAATGGAATGTACTGAAAGGAACACTTTGAAGTTGGTGTTCTATGCTGAGGTAACGCACTACACATTCTGTACATAAATTTGGAGGAAAGATCAAATGGCTTCTGAGTAGAAACAAACACATAAAAACAAACAAACGGCCACTCTCTCAGCTACACACTTCTTTCAAAAGCATTTTACTTGACCCAATGACAGGTGCATAACCCAAAACGAATAAACATTTGGTGATAGTCAACTAAAACAGAGTTGATGAAGCTCACTATATGTCTTATGTTTACTGTATGTAATTTTTTTGGCATAATGAATTCTTTATGTAAAACACTTCAGACAGAAAATAAGACCAGTTATTCTAAAACAAAATTTCTTGCTATAGGTGATAAACTTTTAACTTGAAGTCACTGAACAAGGGGTGTGAGCATGTGGTACTCAGATCACTCAGAGGGTATAAGATGAGAAAAAGGGAAACTGGGTAGGATTCTTGTAATATTTCAGTTCTTGCCTTGTAGGATAGGGATACAGAGGGGGTGACTTGCCATTTTTCATTGAGTTGTACATCAGTGCATGTAGGATTTTAGAAAATGCCTGTAAACATATTGTACTTTAATTTCAACCTAAATGGAAGGATGGAGGGAAGGATGAAAGGAAGCAAGGAAAAATTGCATGCTATTTTCTACATTTCTCAGACTGATGAAATACTCTGCTAAAGGAAATGGGTATTTTAGTCATTTATTTAATTGAAATAACACATAGATTCGTGGAATTGCAAATTTTGGTGGATAGGCTCACAAACTGGAAAACACTTCCTTATCATTTCTGTGTAGAGGGCTGTGTGTTGACATTTCCAGACTTAAAAAAAAATGCCTGTCACTTCTTAATGTAAATGTCACTCTCTTACACATGCAGTTTTCCTGGTTTTGGAAGCCAGATTCAGATGTTAGTAGAGGATAAGAGTGACTTGGAGTGAGGGCCTCTAGCCTTGCATTTGAAAAACACATAAACACACAAATTTTATCCCTGCAGTCCCAGCATCTTAGTAGTTCCACTGTTCAGAATTACTGTTTGGCATTACGGGGGTTCGACACTGAGCAATCACTTACTACTAAAAGTGTTTTGGACACTGAAGTTGGATCTGCCAATTTTGTTTGTTACTAAGGAACAGTTTTCCATGTAATATTTACGAAGGCAAAAGGTTAAGCAAAAATGACATATATTGTTAAAATTAAAAGTAAAAAGCACAGTACTGGTGTGCTCAAAGTCCATGCATTTAAATTCCTTTGTGTGATAATTTATGGTGATCAGGTCTTGAGACTGCACTATGAGTATACTCACCCCTAACAAGCAGTTCTGCCTCATCTGACACACTGTCTGCTGTGGTCTGTACCCTGCAGCCATATCTCCCAGCATGCACCAGAAGGATGTTCCTGATCATTAAATCTGCAGAGGATGCTTGCTGAAAGAGGGATGAAGTGCCAGTTTAAAATGTTGCAAATCTGCCTAGGTCAAGGTGGTTTAAGGGGAAACTTTGCATATTCAGTCAAAGGGCCCATCATTGGCCTTACAATTTATATGACAACAATTCAGAAATCAAACATGCCCTACCTTAAGGTACACATGGAAGTTAGGTTTTTTTAACATTGCTAATAAATGGTTTAAACATTTAATATTGCATATAACGATTTAGCAGCTAAGATATTTAAGAAATATTTAAAATTGTACCAAGAAATTCATATCTTTAAAAGTATAGGAAAAGAAATTAGTAAGCAAAAATTGTTCTTTGCTCTTCAGCAAAAGGCCTATTATGTGGCAAGAAAATTGTACTGAAAGGAATGCAACTGATGGGGAATTAATTATGAGAAGGTGGCTGTCAAAAGATTGTCTCATGTGGCTTTACTGAATGGATCCTTTTGTGGGTACACTGTGGCAACAGATGAGACAGTGCTTAGGTGAGAGATTGCTGGTTGGTCCCAAAGCCATGTGTCTTTATTTAACAAAGATACATCCCTCCCATCACCATCACCATCAGGGAACAGGGTCAGCCTGAATCTTTGTTCTTGCAGTTACAAATCACAAAGAAGGCTCAAAAAACCTGATTCTTGTTGGGAGCAAATGATTAGAACATAGGTGAAGAATAACCACAGTTACAGAGACCAGTAAACACCAGGGAGAGCATCTTTTGATGTATTCATTCATGGGATCAGCAGTGATTCTACAGATGTTGATAAAAACTTCAGAAAGACTGGTACAAACCTGTTGTCACTTGTTGCTGTCTTTCATTTAGTCTCTCAAAAGCGATAGCCCTATTGTGACCATGTAAGACCTGGTATTTGCAATAACTCATGAGGTTTTCTTTTTTTGAGTGGGGGATAAGACTTAGTAATACTCCTTTCACTTTCCATGTTGGATTCCAAGAACAACTGACTTGAATGAAGAAAGATACATGCAGCTTGATGGATATCTTCAAAGAACTAAATCTTGCTTCCAACACTAATTAAGCATATGAATGTTTAATGAAAGTCATAGAGAATGACCCCAGATTAGAGATCCTTTATTTTTGGATGGAACAAAATGAGTTACCTTTAAAAACATAATGTGTTTGTCCTTAGAAGGCATCTAAATGATTATTTAAGAATTTAATTGTTTGCCTTCATTTTGAAATAGATCAAAGGGTTTTTATCAAAATCATGGAAACAAGTGTAACTTGATTTTTATCAAAATAGTGGAAACAAGTCTCAATTTCTATAAATCCCTGGCATTTTTCTTTTAGCATTGATGGAAAGGATGTGAAATCATTGTGAAGTTTTTACCATTTAAACAATTCATTTCTTGCAGTGAATCACTTTATTATATACCATGATTTAGATCATTTTCTTTCCAGTCCTTATTTTTCTCCTTCCTGTTAGTGTATGAGAGGAACTTCTAAGGGTACTAAAGTTTTCTTTTATGAAATAATTAAAACATGGTCTGGTTTTATCATTTACAAGGAAATGCTTGTCATAACAATTATCACAAAAGATGCGATATTTGTCTGGTGAGTGTCCAACACAGCTAATTTCCTTAGGATGGTTTGTTACTCTCAAATTCTAACAAAATTCATTTTCTCATTTCTACTAGATTAAATGTTCAGTTTTTTCAAATCTGAAAAGGAAACTTTAAACGTGTTGATTTTCTAATGGAGAAACAAAAGCAAACTGTAAGCAGAAACAATAATTCAGTTTCAAATCAACATAACTCAATGCTGTATGACTTATATAGTTGCCACACTGTGAAGCATGGGTCTACCTTGGCCTTCATCCTCCAAGATATCTAAGGAGCCCATTTAATTAAAGCAACCAGGAATCAGTATGTGTATTATGGGCCCAGAATGGGGCCCCCATGGAATAGGAAAGCCAGAAGAGGCCACAGAAAATCAGACAGGATTTGACTTTTTCTAGAAGTAACAGTCTGAAAAATTACCTGTATTTTGTTTTGCTGCAGATTTCTTTGCATTTTTCCTTTTTTTTTTCTTGTTGCTGTCTTATTTTTCTCTTTTTCTTTTTTTTTTTTTTGAGACAGAGTTTCACTATGTACATGAGGCTGGCCTTGAAGTTGAGGTTCTCCTACCTTAGCCTCCTGAATGGAGTGCTGGGATTATAATAAACATGTACCACCATGCCTGGCTTTTCTTACTTGTTTTTAAATACAGTACCACAAACCATACCGGTAACAGTATAATAGCAGAAGTACTGAGTATAAGTCATTTTTCAGGCTCACTTTTTGAAAAATTATTTTGTAAGATCACATTCCTACAATTGAATAATTGATGTTTCATTCTACAGACTTTTTCCTCCCAAATAATTCATTTCTTTTGGTCCTAGACAGAAATGGAATTACATTTAAAGTGAACCCTAATGGGATGAGGAAGAGACTTCGTTAAAATCGCATAAAGGTCCCGAGAGTTCAGGAAGGTGAAGTAAACACTGTTTCCTTTGCTGCCTGCTTGGCTCCTGAAACTAGTAGTGTGCAGAACATGCTTAACTGGCTAGAGCCCATGACCACCTCGCAGAAGAGTCTACCCACTGCACAGACGCCAAGGTCAAGACTGTTTGAGGAGTCGACTTCATCTTATTTGGGCCCAATCTCTTCCTTTTTGGATTCTATCTGCATCACATTAAAAAAATCCTAAATAGGGAAGGTTAAAAGTAGAATGGATGGATTGTAAACACTAAGCGTAAATTACCCTTCCAGTAGATTTACTGATCTTTCAAGAGAAGTAATGAGAAGAACTCACGAGATCCCGTTATCCTTAATCTCAGCCCCCAGCACGCAGCTCCTGAGAGCGAGCCTCTGCAGTTCAGTGCACTTTTAATGAAATGGTTACTCACAGCAGATGCTTGTTTTCTTAAATGTAAGCCTCATTCCCACTTTTTCTCTCCTATGAGTTGCTCTCTTTTCTTGTTTTGACACTTGCTTTATTATGTCCTGTCTTTTTTTTTTTTCTCTTGACTGCTTTCTTTTGGCTTTATAAATCAGTTGTGTTACCTGTTGCTTTCAAATGAACTTCCCCGCAATCAGGGCTTCACACAGTGCCCAGCACGGGGCACAGAACATGTCATAGGGTGGGAGCTAAGTGCATACTGCTGAATAAGTGAATAAATGCAGGGCAGTATGCTGACGGAGAGCAGACCTGTAGCTCTGTTACGTACATTTCCTGCTCCCCTATGCTCCTTAGAGCTATTGCTAGTTCATCGTGCTTTTACTTACAGCTTTTCAATACATCAGGAACTGCCATTCTTCACGGCCACTTATTTATTAGCTTTCACTTTGCCTAGGGGCCTTGCTCACCCCCCATTAGACTGTTAATTATATTCCTAAGAAATGGAAATGCAATTCACTTTATTGCTCCATGCCTTCTTGTGCCTTCAGGACAAAATCTGGTCCCTTTATTTGGGCACAGAGACTGTGGCATATTCTTCCATCTCCTGCATCTGCATCCTGTAACACCAACCTCACAGGTCCTCATCTGGGGATCTTCTCACACCTTGCGTGTTTGCGCAGCAGATATTGAGTGTTCTGATGCAGACATTCTTTCTCCTTGCTTTGTCTGAGGGACACATTTAGTATGGCTCAAAGGCCAGTTTGATGGTATTGTAAAGCCTCTCTGGACTCTCCCTGAACTTAGTCCCCATTGTGCTGTAATATCACCTCACTCATGTCAGAGACATATAGCACCTGACATTCTTGGAAGTCTCCCCTGTGGTCACTGTGAGCATCCCCAGATCAGAGCTAGGCACCGTGCAGCTGGTGGTCATTCAACAAGCTAATGAATGTGTGAGTGGCTTGCTTCCTTCCTTCTTGGTGTCTGAACTCCTCCGCCACCCCCCAACCCCCACACACTTTTTCTGGAAGAAATTAGGAAGGAAAATAGGAAAAGACCATTGAGGAAGGCAGTGGGACAAAGCACCTGATGACACAGAATTGTATGAATCCTCTCTCTCCCACTTATTAGATATTGAACTTGGGGAAATTATTGCTCAGAGCTCCTCTTAGAGCTTTAAGGCCCACAGCAGTGTGTCTGGCACACAGTGAGTGTTTGATAAATGTTACTGGTTAAAGGGAACTACAATTGTATTCTTAGTCAAGAGGAATATTCCTTTAATTGGTATTCATTCCCTCACCAACCTGGATATCAATGTTTTACACAGCTATAGTAAGCTGTTTTTGATAAGCACTTAGCCTTATTTTATATATAGGAATTACCCGTGCCCTTTCTCTTTTATAGCAGAGTAGGAAACCGCTGAACTTAGATGTCCTGAATTTTGGCCTTGGTCTAGCACCTTCTGATAGCCCTGGGGCTTGGAAAAGACACTGTATTAGGAAATATCACCTGCGTTCTCTTGCTCATGGAGTATTGAGGGGAATCGGATGAACAAAGTGCATGTCTGAGTGTGGAAATGCTTCCAAAGCATACGGTACTCTCGACGCAGTTTTTCAGCCGGGTATAGCAGGAAGCACTCTGAGAATGGGGAAGGCTTCATTTCAACGATCACTTGTGTCTTCTTGTTGTTGTACTGGGGTTTGAACTCATGGCCTGGTGTTTGCCAGGGGGTTACTCTACCACGTGAGCCATTCTGCCAACCTTCTGTGCCTTGGTTATTAGCCATCCTCCAGATCTCCGTGTGCTGAGTTGTGAGGATTACGAGCTTGAGCCACTGTATCCAACTTGTGTTCATATGAAGTCAGGAACCTGCATGACACATGGCAGGTTCTGTGCCCTCACTGAGGGTATTTCTCTTTCTGAGAGGTTCACATAGGGCCAGCATATCTATAATGGCATGCCCATTCTATAAGATGTAATTTAAGAAATCTTAACATAAAATCTGAGTATCAGCTATGAGACATGGACTATTCGATATAATTAATATTACTAATATGAAATTTTAGTTAAAATATTTTCCTAGTAACAGTGCTTAT